TAGTTAAGTTTATTAAATTACCACTAAATGAGTATAATTTGTGTTGTATTCTCATTGACTTGCTGCAATGAGAACGTTAAGATCGCGTCGCGTTGGCCGCCATTTTGGCACCGAAAAGTTTTGACAGCAAAATTGGCGGGAGCTGGGTAGTGCGTTCGGAAATGAGTTTTCAAATTGCGGTTGATGTTTTGTCGCGATTTTTATTAAGTGATGTTTTTATTGATATTCCAAATTAGATGAGAAATAAACTTGAACATTGGTGAAAACAGTTTTAATAACATGTGAATGAAACAAATAAAAAAGTGAAACAAAATAGGAATGAATTTTAGAAGGATAAAAAGAGTGATTGTATTAATATGTTTCCAAATTTAAATGAACGGTTATGACATTTCAAAATTTTTTTTTTCACGTGTGACGATTTTTTATGGTGTTTGGGGATATTGGATATTCACAATGATTGTTAGTAAATTTTAATCATCAAAACTTTATATTTATGCGGTGGTATTGAAATTCCATTATATATTTTAACGATTTATATGGATATATGCTATTAATGTGTGATTATTTAAATACTTTATTATATTCATTTTGGTTGAATTGTTGTGTTTTAGTACAAATATACTATAAAAACTTTTTCAAATTCGCTTGTCCATTATTTATACACCTATACATTTCTGTATAGGTGTATAAATTGTTATTTATCAAAAAATATATGAGAGATAGGTTCTATGAGTCTAAAAATTAAAATGGTGACTCTAAAAATTTATATAACTTTTTTAAATGTTATATAACCTTTTATAATGCAACCAAAATTCTGAAACATGCAATGTATTTTCCTTACATAATATCAGTATTAGATTACATAAAAAAATAACTAAAGAAAAAAAACTTAATAACTTACATTTTTAGTGAAAATCCTTTCTTCATAAGCACATTGAAATATGATTTTTAATTGAATTTATTCTGTCTGTCAGTGAGTATTGAAGACTGTTGGCTATTGTCACGTGGTCGCTAGTACTGGACTGAGCGACAGGGGAATGCTTAGCTGTCGAGAACATAGAAAACTATGGAGCTGTTATTGTGAATATATATTTATTAAAGATAAGTGTATCGTTTTTTGTAGTAAACGGAATTTTGACGATATGAAATGTTAGGGGTTCTGAACGGAAATGGCGACTTTAATTGAAATTAAAAAAAACATGTAGATACTTACTTTTTAAAATTCTGTCTATCAATAATGACAATGAAAATATTATATTTGTTTATTGTAACCAATTAAAACGGTATACATAAACAAAAATTTCAAAATCTAAATAAAGATAAGTTTTGAAAGAAAAAAATTAAACTAATATATAATTGGCTATGGCTATAGAAGATAAATAAATTAAGAATTTAATATATTATTAAGTATTATAAAGAGTTTGCTTGTTTCATTTTTGCTACGACCTATAGTAGCCGAACAGTGGGTGAAACCGCGCGAGAATAGTTAGTTTACTATAGAATCGCCATTCGTATAATGAATACAACTGTTTACATGTTTAATTCCCCCAACAATAAACAACTTACAATTAATGAATTCTTTATTAATGGACTAAATGGGGGCTGCTTAGGTACTCTTGCATATTGTATTGGCACCTTATTTAGTAGGTCTTTACATATGAAATTGCCGTTTTGCATGAAAAAAATTAAACGAATTCTTTGATTTGAAATGCGATGAAAATGTAACACTAATCAATAAACAAATTACTACTTTTGGAAAAAGAATCAAATGTTTATAAAACAAAATTAATTAGCCTTAGCCTAACAAAAACTATTTTGATTTCAAATGGCCAGTACTGCAGAACGGCAATTTCATAGGTAAATACCTATTATTACGGGAATCCTTCGTGACTATCCTCAGCACCTGTAAGGAACATCGCTTATGTCACTTGCTTATCGCTCTAGAGTCCTCATGGTGCAACGCCTGTTGCAGCACAACCCTAAAATGACTCTAGCCTCAGATTTAAAAAAAAATGACTTCACCTTTCTCCTTTCGCTGGTGCTTACCAAAGCCGCTGTATTTGGTAAGCACCTTTTAAATTATATGGTAGGCTTGGTAGGTTTCTGTTTCATATCCGGTGGGAGGAAACACCCGGATGTCGTCGTTTTGAGTTCCATCCAGAGGACACAGTGGAGCAGTAAATGAGTATAACGTGGTTGTGAGTCCTGCGCTGAGCACTGCCGTGTCCGGCCTTACTACGGAGCGAGGAAAACTGGAACCGCCCGACTACAACCAGACCCGAGAGTACTGCGCGTAGTGTTCCACTACTCAAAGAGCTAATAGAACAGTAGATACGGGGCCGATGTTCAGCCGTGTTTGCTTGGCTAGCGCAATAAGGTACCTTGGTCTCGGCCTAAACCAGGAGCAGGAAGGGAGGTAAGAGGATAAGGGAGGAGGAGTAAGAGTCTGACACTCATTTGATGTCATTTCATAGATTCTCGGTGCCACCGACTGCCACTAAGGGTTGCTTTGGTACAGCTCATTCCACATCATAAAAATGGTATACCTAAAACATTTTTTTAAGTATTTATGATTTTTTATATTTTTAGGCGTGATATTCTCTGTCCATACCTTGAATGTAAGTGAGAATTTCATGTTGCTGTTGAAAAAAAAAAGGAAACTTATCTGTCGAAAATAATAACTTTTGTAGTCTAAATGCCAACTCCATAAATCTTCTTCCACCTGCCTAGAAAAGTCATGACGTTTACTGTTACCGACATACATATACCGCGGGTCGTAGGTTCGTTCCGGAGCTAAGCACGGCTTAGGGCGGCGAGCACTTACAAGTGCAGCTGTGTCGCTGTCAGATCTAATGTGGCTTTCACAAACTTACACATAGGATCGCGGTAAAATGGGGGACATTGATTTGATTGTCAATATAAGAGAAACACTTAATTTTTGAGTCTAAAAATGTTTGAAAGCGTCAGTGTCTACCAAAAGGTGTACCTAAATGTAGCCTAAGTCGAATAAACGGTTATATTTTTTTTTTATTCTCACTACTGTTTGAGCAACGTCTCTTGTGGTATGTTGACTCGGGTCTGGTTCTAGTCAGACTGCGAGCTACCCTTGCTCTCCGTCAGCAGACCATCGCTTAACGGTGGCCAGAGATTGTTGCGTAGTCCCAGACACTCGAAGTGAGGAGGATATTACCCTCACGCGGTCTACCTCTTCCGCCTCCAATGAGCGCGAGAGATCGCCGCCGCCGACCTCTTCCCTGAAGACCCAATGGTGCTCAGCCCAAGCACCCACTACCCTATCCACCGGATAATCCTTGCAGTAGCTTGTGTAGCCATTTAAAGGACACAGTGGAGCATATGGTGGCAGTGTGCCCCGCTTGAGCTAAGCTCCGCCCTGTCCTCTGGGAAGTGATGTGCCAGGCCTGAGTCGAGGCCATGGTTTGGAGCCAGAGAAACCGCAAGCCATTTCCTCTTTCTGCGAATGCTCGCAGGAGGCAGACCGCGTGAGGGAAATTATCCTAGGATTCCAGCCACCGCAAGCGCGGATCGCGTTTACAAACTTACTCAAACACTTAGAACAGTAAATAGGTTGTCGATCACGTAAGAAGGGGTTGTGTAGTCACAGCCACTACACAACCCCTTCGCATTTCGGATGGTTGAAAGACTTTTTCAGCGTGGCAGTCTTCCTGCTGATGATAATGATGATGACCCATGACACTCTTTGACCATATTTCGAATACAATCCGTTTCCAACTACTGATACTCAAACTATTCTTTTATTGAAATGACATAAACTATATTTTTCTATAAATTTTGTATCACATCATATGACATCGACATGATAGTTGTTAATTAAAAAAATATTACAAAATTAATTTACCATATCGTTAAGTGAATGAATGAAAGTATTATATTTTATACTTAATTGTATTGAAAAGTGAAAAGGTGGAAAATCCTCATGGAGCCCCTTCGCCTGGGGAGGCGAGGCTCCATGAGGGACTGTCAGACTTTTACTGACTTAAAACCACCTTGTTGTCCTGTCTCTCACGTGGGCGTGAGGGCGCGGGAATCAAAATTTATTTGCATCCCCACTCGTGACGGCCTATCTCCATAGGCCTTCCTCACCCTATTCCAAATTCAATACAGGATTATTAAATAAAAAAAAAATCTTGCCTTTTCCAACTTGTGATTGTCGAATATTAGCAAGTGCCACTGCTAAGCCATGTGGGAAAGCCAGGCTTCGGTATTATAGGGCACGTTCGACCAGATTGATACCACGGCTTCAAATAATCCTTGTGAAACAATGCTTGTGTTGTTTCGTCATGTGAGTGACATTATGGAGGACTAGCTATTCTCGCGCGGTTTCACGCGCTGCTCAGCTCCATTTGATCGTAGCGTTATGTTTTATAGTCTATAGCACTCAGGAACATTGAAGATATCTATCAGTAAAAAAATTTGACAATCCGACCAGCGGTTCCAAAAATTACCCCCTACATACAAACTTACAAATTTTACCTCTTTATAATATTAGTATATACATAATAGGATAATCAGTTCTCTGTACGAGTTGACAAAAAAATCCTTTAAAAACAAACGTTGTCTCACAATATGATATTTTCCTGTGCCGTGGCTTGGGCTTGTACCGTCCGGGAATGGATGCCACGATACATTGCGGATTAAATTCAGCAGTTTTTACGTGAAAGAGTAAGAAATATACATCTGTCCACCACACTTTCAAACGTTCGGGTATATTGACGAGATTATAGGTGATGTATAAATATAAATCATTACATGACGTAAAGAGAATTTTATGATTTAATTAAATTTCTTGCTTGCTCCTTGCATCTGCCATCAGTATTCTTCTCTGCATCACCCAAAGGTCAGACGGTAGAGAATGTTTAATGCATTAAGCAAATTTTTCCACCTTGGTAAAATTTTGTTTTGCACAAAACTATAAAAAAAACAACAAATCAAGGGTTAAAAAAATAAAACAACAAAATACTCATGAATGTTAATTCATATTTAATAAATAAATACATTTCCATCGTTTTATGTTTTAAATAAAACTATTATTATGTGACTTAGTTGTAGCAACTTTTAACAACTTTTTATCATACAACATGTAGACGCGAACGCGTTATTGCTTAAAATCTAAGTTTTTCTTTAACAACTTTTAACTAAGGAATATATATTAGGAAAACTCTTCAATATACATACATAGAAATAAGTTAGTAAGTTTATTTATACAAAAACTGAAAACCACTTAAATCTATTACAACTTAAGAATAGTATAGTTTTATTCAATCATAAATGACGTGATGTTTAAGAATTAATTAGAAAATATTTTGAAAAATAACGGTCAAAAGACGGTAATTATTATTATTGTACACAGAAATGAATTGTAGAAATTATGAATAAAACTATACAGCCCGCTAAGATATATTTATATTGAGGCTTACAAATCGAAAATTATCGTAATAATTAGAAAACAATTTTTATTTTTGTTTTCCTTAAAACGTTCATTGAGACTGAACACAAGGATTTATAAAATCTTTGGCGCCAAGCGAATCTACAAAAGCTATTCGATATTATTTTTTTCACATACAAACATTGGTGTATTTCTTTGATATTTCATGACTGAAAATATTCTATACAGATAAAGGACATAAGGTTCAAACTTGCATAGCAAATTAGTTAAATCAGTTTCATTTAAAGGAGTAGATAAGTATTTTATGATACAAAATAAGTATGGCATATTTAAATTTGGAAGCAATGTTCATAAATTTAATTAATTAAAAATACTTATAAGAAAATTTCAGAAATACACCACGTCACCACAAAACCATACCATAACCCTATCAAAATAAAGACGCATTCCGCTTGAAATACGCTTACAAACATTACATTCGAGTCCCTTGACGAAACTTTATGGGATAATTTATATTTAATTCAAAAAGATCGTTAATACAATACACATTAGGATCAAAATCCAACGAAGTAACGATTTACATCAATTCCTTTCAATTTGTCATGCATTACATTTTTTTTAAGAACTAGGAAAGATGCTTAGAACACGTTTACAGTCAAACACACAAATGATTCGGACGTTTTAAAAATCGAACAATTGTGAAACAAAAAAATACAATTTTTATTTAAAAAAAAACGTAAAATATTTCTATTGCTGTGTGCTCGACTGTATTAATATAAAAAAAAAAACGAACACAAAATTTATAATGAAATTTAGAGATTCAGAATAGAATGGACAGATTAATTCTTTTTTAATATTAGAATTAAATAATGAATTAAAATTAATATCAATGCCGAATAAAACTTCTATATATAAATTATATAACTTTGTCGACATTAAATATTAATTTTAACCATAAACATTGGACAATTTTAAGTCAATTACATGGCATATTTTTCTTATTGAAGAAAAATTTTGCTACATGTAAAATTGATCTTTAATATAATGGAAGAAGGTCCTTTATCCCATAGCCCTCGCCTATAACAAGTCGTTAATTTTTCTATCTACATTCGTATCAAATTGTAGAAACAACAAGCCTAAAAACCGGTACAAAATCAACAGTTAGCTAGTTTTAGATTAGTCAACATTTTCATTTACCTGGCCGGCCTACGATACGTATTATAGATTACTGAAAAAAGTTTTTTTTGTTCAGTGCGGAAAAGAGACAGATCTATTTTTGTTAGTTCCGTCTCTTTTCTGCTCTTTGAATTGTATCTTGTTTTTCCTTGAATTAGAGTCTAATTTTCTTTGCATGATCTGTAGTACTAGGTTTAAAAAGATAGTTTGAAAGACAGAAAAAGAATAGATATGAAATATATCATGTCACGCTATAACTGAATCAAAAATATTTGACTAAAATCAGACGGTTTCATACTAACCTCCGTCTTTTAGGAAAATTTGTAATCCTGCGCACGCGCAAGTGATGCGGCCGGCCAATCCTCTATACGCTTATCACTATCTAGTAATAATTTACGGTAAAATCCATGAAAATTACGAATCGGTAACGTTATTTAAATATACGTATAATAAATGAAAAATCAAAAGCAGCCTTCAAGTGTAGTCGAATACAGAAAATCGTACATATTTTTGGAAGATTTTAATTTAATTATTTTTAATTAATATTATTATAATTTCTCTTTATAGATTTTTTCTTAGTACCTACATAGATGAGTAACTTTTGTCCGAATCAACTGTAATGGAAGAATTATTTTCATTAAATATTTTCATATTTTTTTTATCGTACCTGATGGAGAACAATTAGCGCCGGATATTGACACTGGCAACACTAGCACGTATGTTGCCAGCCTTTGGGGGAGATTGGGCTACCAAATCTATATTGACCAAAAAATACCAAGTGACTCAATTGAGTAAATTTCTTTGTGAATGTTTTTCACAATATTAAATTGTTCTTTTTTATCTTCAACGGACAAAAGGCCCTCGTCTTTATAGGTCTTGTGGACATCATAATGTTGACGACAGGTCTCTACCTACATCAGGAATCAAAAGGTTACTATCCTATATTAAAATTCCTCAAATCGCCTAATCTAATAAAATTCATCAACAATAGTGAATAAATTCGTATTTTTTTTATTTTTATTTAATAATAAATATTTTTTTAAAACTGTGATGTCTATGTATTCTTTGCTCTGTGCTGAAATAATTTGTGTACTCCAGAAACTCTATTGCATTCGCTATTCCAAACGTATGTACAATTATTCTACGGAAAATATCATGAACTTCTAAAGATAAAATTTTCTTTTTTTTTCTCCATTAATTTATTATTAAAAGTAATCTTTATAATACTTTTCGGTTGGTAACATGCAATGGAAAATATGTTTTATGTGTGAATCTAAAAAGTGAATATTCTTTTGTCTCAATTTAATATATTTTTTTTTTTATATCGCCAAATACTAAGCACAGTTTTCATATATGACTCAAACTGTGTTTGAGTAATCGGCGATTATTTTCATTCGGTACCGTCCAGTAATTCCACATTTAAAACTCTAGCTAGATTTAGAACCACTTCACTATTCCTGAGATAAATTTATTATCATAACGTTAAGTTGATCTTAGTTTGTGATAAGAAGCATAAGTTATGCAATCATACAGAACTAGCGTTCTGTGTTGCAAGATGATGATGATTTTATTTGTTGCCATTTAATTAATTTGGTTACCAATATTTATTTAATATGGACGTCGCTTTTGGGTATAAATTAATTTAATTTATTTGCTTTCAGAAAAATGTTTCAACGAATTTTAATGAGTTATTTTCTTCAGAAATAGTGAGTGATTCACTCCAACATCTAAGAATTATATACTTCCAAAAACGTGGACCCAATATTATCTTCGATTCATACGAAACTCCCATTATCTATACATTTTCGTTATAACAACCTCTTTAATTAAAAATGAGGCTTATTCATTTACATATTAAGTATATAATTTTTCTACGTTTAAGTTTCTTCTGATAGTAACGTCGCTATGAAAATAAAGGTCATTTTGTGTCTATATATTTCCTTGAACAGCTACTTTTTGTTGAAGAAATATATACTAAATATTACTGTATTTCGGGCTACGAGAAACAAATGAGTGTAGCCATTTTAATTAAGTATTTCTTCAAAGTCATATTAAGTATATTTTTTTACGTCATTCCGTGAACGTATCATAGTCAAATGTATTATTGTTATATTAATAAATTCGAGTACCATACTCATGTTGGCACGTTTGTATAGTAAAATACAAATTATCCAAAACCACCCCAAATGCTTATAAACCTACCCTGGTTAGAACCACAGATACAAAAAAAGTCAAATGTATCTGAATTCTGACGAAGCTTTAGTCACATGTAGCCAAAATACAACGTAAAAACGGTCTCAGCTACAAAATTTGTAGTTCTAATGCCAAGTGTAGCTAAATTAAGGCTACATTCGACTGAGAAAATGAGGGCGAAATGTAGTCTTTGATAGATATTTTTACTAGAGTAAAAATTGTATTCGTATACCTTATCTAGGTATGGATGAGAATTTAAAATATTCACAAAGGACTTTACGCTTATACTGGTCTTCAAGGAATCTAGTATAACATCATAGTTTCCGAAGACGACCTAATAATTACGACTTATTAAGGGAAAATGACCCTTCTACGTGCATAATATCATTTGTGAATATCATTATAATATAAATCACCTTAAAAATCAAATCAGCTTGAAGTTTACAATCGAGTGCGTTGAAATAAAGAATGGCACTTAGAAAATGAGGTACCCGACCATTAAAATAATGAAACTATTACATTTAATACGACAATCACCTATTAAAGCAAACCTCTTTACTCAAATAAAAAAACGAAAGTTCCCGATTGCGTTCGTGAACGATCGGCTAATGAATTCGACCAATCAGGGTCGAGAATTCGTTGGGAGTTCCAAATTCAAAATAACGATGTATACCGTTGGGTTATGAAGTTTAGACTTCGGTGCTTTTGCCGACTTGTCCGTGCTTATTGTCCGGAATTCCGGATGCGCTTAATTTACGTATACGTCCTGGGAAAATGCCACTGATGCCTCCAATGCCTCCGAACAGACGACCTGGAAAATGAGAAAATATATTTTTAGATCTGATTTCAAAGTTATTATTATATTCGAATTTCGAATGTTTTCAGTAATTGGACTCTGTAGTAATGTCGAGTGATGCTCCGACAAATCTTAACCAAATCAAAACCAATAATCTCCCAGACAGTATCAATAATATTTTTATTGTATAACTAGAGAGTAGTAAGAGCAATTAAAAAAAAACATAATTTGTATTTTACACCGCGGAATGGTTAACTTTACATTGTGGAAAATGACATTATTACTTTTTGGTTGATTTATGTGAAGAATAACCTATTTTCGACAACACTAACATTAACGATAGTTAAAGGTGTGAGCAAACGCGTCTCTATTGGTGACCGATCGTTAACTAACCTTACTATAATGTTAATATTAACTATTCGGCTTCATCTAGTTATTCACATATAAATTGACGTGTAAAAGTGCCATTTTATGCCTTTTTTGCAAAAATAAATTCATTGTTTCATTGTATTAAAACTATTTGTGTCAGTGTGGGACTACTGACTGCGCGGGCCATTGACATCAATAAAGTGTACTTTGTACAGGTAATATTTCTGTTGAGAGGTTTAGTATTGTACGTACCAGGGGAACGTTGTTCATTGGGATGTCTAGGCGAGGTGGCGTGTAGCGCGGTCCTGCTCCCCTGTTGGAAGGACACGGACATTCCGCTGTCCAAGGACCCCACCGAGCCGCGACGTTGAAGTCGCTCCGCTGCTAAAGCCACTGTGGAATTGGAGATGGTGATTATAATTATTATCATTGCTTGTCTTTATCTTTATCTATAGGAGTGTTATCAGAAAGACTGACATAAGCAAAAATACGCATCAAAATCTACAAAATCCTTTAAGAATAAGTAGTCATAAATTAATTCGTAAAATATTATTTATCCATAATAAATTAATTATTCGCGTATAAATAACTAGCTACTTCCTTCTTCTTTTTTTATTCTACCTAATAGTTCTAGAGTTTAACACTGAACGTAGGTATCCAAAATCAAAAAAAACTTTTAAACTTAATACGGTTGTTTCCAACTAGTCAAATTCAATACTTTTATCCAAATGTCAAAAACGATACTTTTCTATGAAAATTGTATGAAACATTGAATTATGACGTCATAGCATTTTTGCGCCAAATAGCTTACTTATTTTTAAAAAATTTGCTAAAAAATATCTGAAACTTAGTGTATCGATCAATCAATCGATATTAAAACGTCGAATTAATTTAATTTTTGACCTAGGAAACTACCCAATTAAAAAATAATTTTTAATTTATATTAGACTTAATAAAAAAAACTTTGCATGTCACTACAATTTTCTGCCGTGTCGTAGTTGCATTTACACACAACACACTCCGACCCAGAACCACATTTTGTAGATCAAACAAAGAGTTAATCCGCGCGGGAATAGAATCCACGATACATTGAACGGCAGCCGGTTGCCCAGCTACGGTGTCAAGTGTACGTAGAGGTACGTACGGTAGACGGATGAGAATATCTTGATATCATAGATAGACAGATAAATGACTTACCTGGATCATTAATATCAACAAGCGAGTTGCTGAGTACGTTCCTCTTGATGATGGTGGTGGGGGGCGGGTTCTGGGAGCGCATGGGGGCTGCCGGGGCCGGGCACGATGGTGGCGGGGGGACCACCACGCTGCGGGGAGAAAAAGAGCTTGTTTGATATTATGTTATACTAGCTTCTGTCGCGCGGTTTCACTCGCTGCTCGACTCTTACAAATCGTAGCGTGGTGTTTTATAGCCTAAAGCTGTCCTCGGTAAATGTACTAACAAACACAAAAATAATTATTCACTTCGAACCAGTAGTTCTGGCGATTACCGCGTTTAAACAAATAAACAAAGTCTCAAGCTTAGATTTAAATACTTATTATATCTTAACAGTAATATTCTGTTCATTACAATTCGGCAAATAAAAACTAAATTGCTTAGTAAAATATGAAAAAAAATTGAAACATAAACGATACGATTAAGTTCTTTGTTCCTTTTTTATCGTATCATGTGTGAAGGTCGATTAGTATGAAAAAAAAAGTTGAAAACAAATTGACTTAGAAATTAAAGGCACTTTCGAACTTCAAACTACTTAATTAAATATCATAAATTAAAGTATCAATTTATCAGTCTGTTTTATATTAAAGCTATTTCCTCGTTTAAAAATGTAGAAGAATGCATAAGAAACTCCATGGTTAATCTTATTCAATCAGTTTATTTTTTTCTTTCATGTTAAGCGCATGTCTCATACTTTCTGTATAACCAAGTTCTTTGGTATCAATGGCCAAAGAAAGTTACAAAGTAAGAAGTACAAAGTTTCTTCTGAAGAATCTTGTTTAGGTCAAAATCTAACTTACCCATGCATGTGAACATGATCCATACACTGCTGGTGATCAATTTCTACATCGGCCACACCGCTGTCTCTGTTCTCCATTACTGTTGATAAACATATTTTGATTAATACACTTTAATCACATATTACAGACTAAGTTTTAAAGTGTATACCATTTCTAAGAAGTTGATTTTTATTACACATTCCATTAAAACCGAATAAAACTTATACAAAAAAATAGGCGTTGTGGAGGTCCAAGTTAAATAGATACTTACTTATTCATTTTAAAACCTGTTAAACGTTACCCCGGTTTTAAATTATACCGGCATGAAACCGCCAACATATTGTGTTTCATCGTGTGAGTGAGGTAACTATAAGCCTAATCCTCAATTCTTATATAACTAACAAAAGGCATTTCAAACTCGTTTAGTGTTACGAATATTCACAGGCATTGTGTTTCGCCGTGTGTGTGAGGTTACCGAAGGCCCAATCCGTCCCCTCCCCCAATCCTTAAATCTCCAAATCCTTAACCCCTAAAAGGTCGGCAACGCACTCGTAACTCTTCCGTTGCGAGTGTCCATGGGCAGCACTGATTTCTTACCATCAAGTAATCCGTCTGAATCATTGATGATCAAAAAATAGGCATCGCAGCTTAACACCAGGCGATCCTATAAAAAAGGACTATCTCTATACAAAAACTACCGACCATTCCTAGCCGAGTTCCCAGCGGCCCTTCCTTTCCCTCTATTGAGTTCTCCCTCGATCCTCATGGCCTCCATTTCATCCATTTCCGCGATACTCTCGCGCAGGTCCTCTGCGAACTTGCATCGGTCGTGTTCGTTGCGCGCGTTGAACGTGGCTAGACGTCGACTGTCCACGCGACGGGATAGACGGATACCGAAAGGGTAATCTTAAAAAAGAAAAAAATACATATTAAGTTAATGGCACGGTTGGCGTGGTAGCTGGGCAACTGAAAAAGTTTTTGTGTGATCCACAAATTGTTGTTCCGGGTTTGGATGTCATGTGTATGTGAAATTGTATGTTTGTAAACGCACCCACGACACAGGAGGAAATCCCATCCGAAACCCGGATTGTAAAATTAATGCCCGGTTTCCAAAAGATTAAATTGATTTTAACATTCATCATGTTAAAATCAATTTAATCTCTTGTCAAGTCATCTGATTGGTTGTTGATAATAATCAGATTAGTTTATTTTAGCGTTGACAAGCCTTTCAGAAACCGGGTGTAAGAATCACATGTAGGTGTACATTGTCAGTAACGAAAAATGTCATTAACTCTGTGTTTTTACTAATAATTTCAAAAACGTAAATATATTTTTTAATTATACTTTTCTGAATATGTTTTGGACCCACAACTTGAACCTGAGACACTTTGCTTGGTAGTCAGACTTGTAGAGCCACTATTCAAGCAGCCAACCAGCATGCAAATTATTTAACCAAACTTTTAAGGAATTATCTTTGACTTCTTGTTCGCTTTTTAAATATCTTTATGGTATCGCGAATGAGAATTAACCTTATAACATTGTAATAAAGTATAAACTCACGTGGCACAGAGAACAGGTTGACGAGCATGCCACAGAGGGGGAAGGACTGGCGGAACGTGTACGTTACTGAGGACTTCTTCTTGCTGAAGATCTTTGTAATCACCAGCAGATCGTTGAACAGGAACACCTGGAAGATTTAACGGAGTTTAGTGCTTATTTGTAGGAGAATAAGGTTGATTTTTGTTATTATACTACCATCGGCCTCGCTTCGCTAACTAAAGGACAAAAAGGTCAGCTTTTTCCAGTTTCCTAATCAACCTTTATAAAATATCTTTCATAAGAGCCGTTTTCTCACAAAAATTACCACAAAAAAACTATGGTCTTAAGCAATACACTTTAATTTTTTTTTTAATAAAGATCTTGAATAGTCAATCAATCACAATCAATCAATTCACGTACGTGAGAGATTATATTAATACTTTACTGTTTTACAGGATTTAACACGCACGTACCTTTTATTTGTTTTTGCTTAATATTTGAGCAGGATTAGACCTGCCATGGTCACAAGCAGACTGTCTGACTGTGACTGTGTTTGCTTATGACCGTGGCAGGTGTAACAGTTTACCGTGAGAGATTATCTAATATATAATGAAGCTAATAAAAGCGTGTTAAAAATGAATCGCAAAATATGTTGGTAAGCGCATAACTCAAGAACGCCTGGAGCAATTTTGCCAATTCTTTTTTTGTTGTATTTATTATAGCCAGGAGAAGGTTCTTATCAAACAAAATTTTCGAAATATCGGAGGGAAAGTTGGGAAAAAGTGACCCTTTCATTGTTTAAGCGATAGTTGGACCCGTGCGAAGCGGGGGCGGTCCGCCAGTTCTCAATAAAAATGAAAAATATGCATATATGCATTACCTCTCTCTGATGCACTCCTGGACGTTCTTTCTTGTGTATGTCGGGGATCTCGTAGAGTCGGCAGTAGCAAACGAGACGACGGTGCGGGAGTGCCAGGTGGGGCTTCTTGCCTACTATTGTCGCTTGCACTTTCATCACCTGTAGGAGAAGAAGGAATTGCTTAAAATTCTATCTTACTAATATTACAAATGCGAAAGTTACGATGTTTGGATGTTTGTTACTCAATCATACCAAAACGGTTGAACGGATCTGGATGAAATTTGGTACAGGCAAAGGATACACTCCGGAATAGGACCAAGGTTACTTTTTACCACGCGGGTGAAGCCGCGGGTGGAAGCTAGTAATTCTATAATTGATAACCAGCTGTCCATGCTTCTCACAAATGTCGAAATGCATCGGTTTCAGTCGAAGGGGCTATCAGACTCCAAAACTCCAATTGTTTTTTAGACTGTTATAGTGTTATCCAAAAACTCCTTAATATAGTTTAGAAGTCCTCGCACTTAAAAGACTTATAGCTCTTCATATACACATAAAAATAGCCACTAACTTCAAAAGAATTGAGTACATATTCACCTGCGTAACATGATCACTGCCGGGTCTAAACTCGCTGGACTTCACCCGATCGTATATACCGGCCAGCATATCTCGATCTATGTCGCCACAGTCGTCAATGCCGCGCAGATTACGTACGAAGTCGTCCAACGACATGCGAGCTTCGGGCTTGAGGTTCGGTGTGTGCAAGTCTGTATTTAGCATTATAATGGCGAATGCTAGGACGAATATCTGTAAAGAAGTGTCAGAATGGTAATTGTTATTAAATTGATAAGATTTAATGGTAGAGTCCTGTTTGTAATATATGTTTAAAATATGTACAATGACAACTCAAGAGATAATATAAAAATCCGACATTTTTATGAAACTTATTTTAAAAATACCAAAAATTATTAATTTCAAATTAAAGCATAAAATTTGAATATTCTACTGCTTTATAGAACAAGTTTTCGTACATTTTTAAAACTATCCTTATCGATTTAGGCCAGAAATTGAATACTAAAGGCTGTTAAGCTGAGAGGTATTGATAAATGATAAAAGATACTTCTGAGCTATAAATCGATTTAAATCTTTCTTATTTCGAACCAGAGAGAGATAATGAAAACACTGTCTCCTAAATAAGAGAGGTATGCCCATATAATATCTTACTTATATTATATGGGCATACATATTCATATGTGACCTTTAACAAATACATTGTATTTTTGACTATTTCAAACCCTGCGTTTAACTTAGATTTTTTATAATAATGCATCATAGAAATTGGTACGAAGCTTGACGTATAATACCTAAAGTTTTTTTTATAATAATGCATCAGAAAAAATTTAACAAATCTTTACGTATAAAAACCTTTTTTTATTATAAACTTAAGCTAAAGACATCTCCACAAAGTAATCCCCTACTCACCGTATCCTGAGTCCTCAATCTTTGCACGAAGTCAGGGTTACAGACGCAGTACCTCCTAGCGAAGGCTTCCACCAGCCGCTCTATCTTCTGAGCCTCGCCTGGCAGACGGAAGTGTGCCTGGTAGCGACGTAATGCCACGTCCACTGCCATACCTGATAGATCTAGCTCGTTTACGAAGCACCTGTAGTGAAGAAGGTTTGGGATTAGTCGATTCGATAACTGTAGTAATTTTTGTAAGCATATTAAATATGTTTTGGTCGTGTGAGTGAGGTTATTGGAGGGTCGATTCTTCACCCTCCCTCCCAATCTCTAAATCACCGAAATGCTAATCCCCAAAATGCTAGTAATGCAAACTCTTTCGCGTAATAGGTGTCCATGGGTGGCAGATTGCTTAATACTATTAGGTTATTCGTGTCGTTTGCCGACGTACCACATTAAACATATGTTTTTGCCAAGAAAAGGATAAAAACGCAATTTCATTGAGCTATTTATTCATCTTGTCTTAAATTTTGTTGATGTAGAAAAAAGTAGGAGATCGGTCAGACAGCCGTTCCACATAATGGATTTTTTTTTGGCGTAAACTTAATTTAAGTTACGTTTTTGCTTAAAAACTGTGCAATAGAAATGATACGAATTATATTATGATCAGAAGTTTACTAATAACATACTATCTATGTTAAATAATCCAAAATAGACTAAATAAAAAGGCGTACTCACTCAAGCACAGCCATATTGAAAGGATTCTGCAGATTTCCAAGGTATTCTCCGATCATTTGCTTGCTAAGCCCCTTCCTTGTGATGAGGAACCTGGCGACTCCTCGAGGAGAGTTCTCGAGGAAGCCGCGGGAGATCAGGTAGGCTATGCCTCGTTCTGGTTTCTTGTTGAAGAGGTTCAGACCAACACGGTACTGACGCTTGCGGACCGTTTCTGAGACCTGTTGATGGGATTTTGTTATGAGGCGAGTATTGTAATGGTTTGTGTAATGTAGTGATTGAGAGTATTAAAACTATTTTTTTTTTCAAAAGATTGAAAAGAAAGTTATACAACACAGGAATTGATAGCGAATAAATATAAATAAATGGAAAAAACGCCAGCCATAAAAGTCGGGAGAAACATTACACAAAATTACCGTTAAAGTGATAGAAAAAGAGTTGAAAATTTTACAAACGGAACATTGCTAAGTCTTCACTAAAATTAGTAATGAATTGTTAAACATTTTATGTCCAGACTAAAAAAGGACATTAAAGAAAAATGCATTGGATATTATAAAGGGTGTTTGTAAAATTTCAAGACATATAAAGTGGTGGTTTGAGAATTGTATTATAGTATGTATTTAGGGGTGGGTGGAGGGGTATTTTAAGATAGAGAACAATGTTGAAGTGAGAAGGTGGTACAGGTAGTGCATGGACCTTGAGCGGCTGGTGAGCATGAGGCAGGTGGTCGTGGGCGGGCCTGCAGCATGCGGCGGCCGGGGCCTCGTAGTACGGCGGCGCGTCCTGCCGCTTCCATACTGAGAACCTCTCCTCATACCCAGGGCCACGACCTGCGTAGGCCGCCTGCACGGGCTCCTATAGGGGAACATGTCACATGCCACATTCATTCGGGAGTCGTGTAAGGTTCACTTGTACATCATTCAAAGTAATAATAATAATTTTGCAGTCAGTTATTTGGTAATCATAAAAATAAGAGAACATAGTATGCTTACGATTTCAACCTACGAGTTGCGTTTAAGGAAAATGTTGAATGCAGTTAATATTTTAGATTAACTTACTTTTTTTTCTTTTAATAATAATAATTTTAACGTAAAAGTGAAATAATTAAACATTTAAAGCAAAACAGAAACTTATACTGGGACATTTTATTCATCAATATTATTTATTTATCTTAATGCAGTACTTTCAAAGCCAAAGTAATTAAATATTAGTACTTTGCTAGACGTTTTTTAAGGGGCTATGGCTTATTTGCTTATCAGATGACTTGATGAAACAAGAGTTCTGTTTGTCCAAACACTACCAAAAACTGAAACAAGCTAATTCTTAACTAGACTAATAGAAAAAGTCAAGATTATCTGTAAACAAAATACGGTAGCAATAATTGCTTCCCTAAAATTACTTCTTTTTCTTTACAGTACAGTACAGTGAGTCAAAAACAAACCCAAATATTATTATTAATTTCTACTTACCGGAGCTCTAGGTTGGTACGGCTGGTGATAGTGGTGGCGGTGCTCCTGCGATGATGACGATGAAGAGGATTGCACTGAGGACATGGAACCACCGCGAACAACTGCCCCACATTCAGCTCGGCGAAGCGATACTGGACTCTCCGCACTGAAAAAGATTGCGTGTTTTGATTATTATTTATTTTATTTATTTATACTTTTTGTATAATGTACAACGTATTTATCAGGTACAATGTATTTTAATTATCAGATTTTAAGTAAGCGTTACGCGTTTGAAATAAGGTTGAATTTGGCATGTCAATAATTGCACTTACTGCGCTAAACTCTAAGCCCTTATGATTCGACTTTTAAAATGCATTTATGAAAATAATAAAAGGGTGGCGTTGATCGCTTACCATCAGGTAATCTGTCCATACATTTGAATCTCATAACAAAGCGTGACATACTTGAGTATTTTCAAATCAAATGACTTCGCCCGCCCAATGTAAGGCGAGAAAGAGTGCCAGACTTTTACTGACTAATACCTTCCCGTTCCTTTTCCTGCTTTAAGACGAGATCGCGGTGCCACATTGCGTTTACCCCGCAACTCCGGCTGAACATCAGCTCTGTAGGGCCCCGTCTGTAGTGGTCTATTAGCTCTTTGAGGCGACTTACTTGAGTGTAATACTGCTAGTCCGCTTTGGTACTTCAGGCGGGAGACGCCTGGCGTTAGCAGCTTGTATAGCGGCCAACTGTTGTTGTTGACGCGCTGTCGGTGACGAGAGCGGCTTGCCACCTGATGATAACAGGTTCCCGTATATTGGACCTGGAATTATTAATAATAAAATTTAAAAAAACATTAATTCAGTGTCATTACATTAGGTGTCTACATACATTGTCATTTATTATTATTTGTGGTTATAGCTATAAAATGTAGGTACTTTTTTATTTTTACGTCATACTAAAATATTTTTATGTCTGTAAGAGTAAGTATTTAAGGTTACCTTAGGGTTGCAAATAATATTGTGAAAATAATTTCATAACGTTTTAGGTTTGTTTATTACACCTCAAAGAAACATGAAAAATGGTGATAAACAAATGATTCTTATTAAATTTGAATGCCTTTTAATTTAAAATAGATCACCTTGTTAGTAAAATGGTGATTTATTAATTTGTAGTAAACTAACTTGTTTGTTAAGTTATTTGATAACCGTTAATGCGATATAAAATATTTTTTTTATTACATTCAGTTAAACAGACTTCAGATGGTAGACAAAAAAGAGTGGTAGTAAACAGTTTGAAATTGTACCAAAAACCAACACTTATATTTTATTGCTGTACTTCAGCCTATTCCATCAAAATAGGTAGGCATGCAGACAGTCAGCAATTTGGAGATTAGGCCCGGGGGTGTGGGGGTGACTTGAGCATCCAGTACCATCATTGAAAACTAAACAAAAGCGTTTCGGGTATCTTCGGTAGTCTATGAGGCTCTGTGCAAGCAGAGACCCATTCGTGTCGAAGCTAAAACTGCCTCCTTGGTTAATGGCAGAGCCATCTCTGCCATTAACCAAGGAGGCAGTTTTTTTCCTGATTACTTTCATAATTATTTATGCCATACAATAAAACAGCAAAGATTTCCCTCTACACAATATATGTATGTGTTGATTTTAGATATCTTTAGCAAACATAGCATCACAAGAAAGCGTCTGCCTAAGATAAAATTCCTTATAAGAATGTTGTTTACTTTGCCGTGACGGGGAAATTTGTTGGAGGATTGTACTAAAATGGCACTTGTACTTGACTACAAATAAGACCTAGGTATTTAATTTTCTTGTTTTGTTCTATTTTGTATGAATACTCGTAGAACTGGGCACATACTAGTAGAACTTGCCTTTTGTAAAACGCTTTAGATTTTTAGTAGAGTAATACAATAAATAAATTTGAACCTAATAGCAGAGACCATTACAGACATAATTTAGCTTACAATCCAAAATAAACTGTAGCATCTTCAGATAAAATTGAGTTTCCTTTAAATACCTACCTACTTTCTAGTGCAAATGCCATGTATATGTACAATGCAATAGTAAGAATTAGCAGAGTATTTACAATAATGCTTAATTTAAATAAGCTGTCCCTATTCAGTAATCTGAAATGGTCTCTATTTTGACCTCTGTAGGGTAGTAATTCTTTTACGCCTTGTTTAAGAACAATTAAGTACATAATATATTTTATTACATTAATTACCTGTATTATTTAATAACTGATGGTTGTGTAGAGATTCATTGTGTGATGAGGACGTAGATATGTTGGTGACGGATCCGCTTACAGAACAACTGCACACCTGGAATAGATTAAAAAATATTATTATTATTTTTTAAAATACAATCTAGGTTTATTAAAAGGTGGTGGATTCTACAGGTGTATTATAATGGGAAATACGAAAAAAATGTTCTTGTTGTTGTTTTTTATTCATGAATGTGGGAAGATGGTAAGAAATATATTTAATAGTTCATTACTTCGTACTTTGTCTTGCTGAAAATTTTATGCTAAATGTGAATACAATAAAAATGAGAAAATATTTACAAGTCAAAGGGCAAATATTGTTTTTGCATCACTTGTAAAATGAATATACAGTGAGGAAGATTGTAAAACATCTCTGAAGAGTACAATGACCTCACTAAATATCAGTTTATAGAAACACATAAGTTAAAACCATACTTTTTGCTTAAAATTAAATCGAAGAGAGTTCACAGTTATAAATTAAAGCCTTTCTAATTGACCGGAATAAATAAATAATAAAAAAACATAACAATTCAAATAAAAATACACACACTTTGTAATTTCCAGTAAACCGCCACAGTTTCAATTTCTTAACTTTTTTCAAAATAACATTTTTATTTTTCACTACACTCCTAACGATATCTCTGTTCTTTGATTTATCCATTTTTTATAAATTTCTTTTTTGAACAAGCTGACGTCGTTTCACGTCGACGTCAGAATTTATAATGATAATGAGTCTAAGATATAACATCATAATTAGTTTGACAAAGTTGTTTCATTACATTATCAGTGGGATGATAAAAAAAGGATTTCACAGTCGTGATAGGGACATTATGAATGAATTTTTTGCAAATATAATTAGATGTTTATTTTACATAGTAACGGAAGTAGTCAGGTGGGTGTAAGATAAAATAATTCTTTGCATTTAACTATTATTTGTACAGTAAAAACAGTAGGTTTAATTTCAATATTTATTCTGTCTAAACTTCCTTGAAGAAATTAATTTCGCGGAACTATTTTCTTCAAGTGTAAGTAAATGGTTTATGATCTTAACTTTATTTTTCTGGTGGAAGATTTGTATGAGAACCACAAGCTTTCGGGAGGAGGAAGAGCTGAACGGAATGCCGTTAGACACACATTTTTTTCCCAGCACAATTAAGGTTCACTAAGATATGGAATAATTCTTAACTAGTATTTGGTTCCGAGGATTGAAAAGGATTTAAACACATTAAAATTTGTGATGAAACGATATTAACTCTTAAGATAACTGGCGCTTGATATAAGATTATCTTATCAAATGTTGCTAAATATTTGATGCATTATAATGTATTAAAACGCTGATGTCATTCGCAAATTATGTGCTACCTCATGCCCGGATCCTAAAGGGATGAACAATTTAATCTATTACTCAAATCAAAGGACATCCTTTTTAAAATAATTACCTAAAATGATTCATAGCCTAATCTAATTACATTTTCAAAAACTTTCGTTAAAAGGTGTTTTGAAAGCTGTCAGTTTGACGTGACAGATAAGAATGTCAAAATGACAGCTGTCACAGCTGTCAAGTAGTATTTGTATGTTCTATTTAACCATTCCAATGTATGCTCTACGTTATTAAATATAAGCTATACATTATCGAACCTGTATACACACAGTTAGACCAAGTCACCTGATGCTGAGATTTATAGAAAATGGTTAATCAAGACCTTTACCACTTGCATTATAGCTTGCAACAAATATCCTACCTACAAAAGTGCATAAGTGCAATGTACAAGTGCGCAAATTATAGCCGTATCCACCAGGCTTAAGGGTGATATTAGTCTAGCAAATAGTAAGTAGTTGTGCTTACCCCGCTATCGGCGTCTCCACGGTGTAGGGGTGGCATGTCAGATGCAATCATGTGGATCTGATGGGCCGACTGTTGGACTCTTGCCACCATAGCTTCCACCTCGCTTTGTGGATCGCAAACCATGTGATTGCTGGAAATAGGACAAAAATTAATTAATTTTGGGCAAATCTGAAAGTTCCGGGTTATAAAAGGAAATGAAAAAATTATAAATATTTCGAATGTATTAAAATTACTTCATTGTTCCTCGACCCTAATCTTCAAGCATACATTTGTCAGGACGATGTTCAGAAACAAACAAAATCTTACAAATCCCTTAACCTGGCATGAAATAATGGCTGCGAAAACGGAACACTGGACTGGTGGAATATACATATGCATAATGAAATAAACTTTTGTCTTCATTGCCATTTATTCACAAACCACACACTAAAAACTGCCTTAACCCTTACCAACATAAATATTAACACAAAAGTTATCAAATCTCTAAAAAACCCAATCCTGGTCCTTTGGGTCCCAAGTCACCTTACAACACATCTTACAATATTTCACTAAAAGGACCAAATTGTCCTTGCTATAAAATTTCGACTTTATAGCTCAGAAAATAGAGTTCTAAGTCACATGTTCAGTGTTTGGAGGTAAATTATTTAAATATGTGCGCTACTTTCAGGCCGTAAAGATAACGGGCGTCGCCTGATTATAAATTAAGTGCGCAACCTCTGTTGAAGATTATTTGTTATTTTAGTATTCATGGTGAGAAGTTGTAACAAAACGATTGGTGGTTACCGTTTTTTATATAATGTTATGTACATTTTATATGTAAGGTCAGTATTAAATAAGGTCTTGGAATAGTGCCATGACGACTAGTTCATAGACTTTTAAAACAAATCTATGTTAGACGGAGCTAAAAACTGGTCATATGGCGACGTTTGCAAAGTTTACTATCCATAACGAATTGCTGGAACCTAGTTCTATTTTTAATTTAAAGTTAGCCATAACACTTTGAACCGACTATAGCGGAAGAAATAATATATTTTAAGCACCCATTTTTCTCCGTAAATATCTAGAATGGGCTCCTGTACTATATGACCGACGGACACATTTTGACGACACAAAGCAGCAATTAATGAGGTTTCGATTTAATTAATTTTCTTACCTCATATCAATGTCATGTCGTTCCCTTAGCGACATTGACCGCATAGGCCTGGTAAGTGCTAGGGCCTTCTCCACTCCACCAGGACTCTTCTGTAGTATCGTGTTCGCGTATATATCTGTACCTAAAATCATAATGAGTTCGGGTAGCAGTAGTAGTCAGTAGCAATCAAAGTTGGCAAAAAATCCGTGACTATTGAAAGTAAAAGACTATTTCAATTTATCGTTGAATGCATAGTAACGTCTCCCTTCATTACGATTTAAGAAAAATGCCTTTGACTGTGTTTTTGAGGAATCCAAGAACAGGGAGCACAAGTTGCTAAACAACAATAGTCGCCAAATTCCAAGCCTTAAAAAAGCGGTAACTATACATACCATTGACTAGTTGGCCATGTTCCGGCCCATCTTGCAGCCTCCTCGCGTTTGAGTCAGCGGCCTTAGCCATAGCTGTGATGGCACTAAACTTCTTCAGCAGCTGTCGTCGCCTAAATGCCCTCTGGATGGTCACCGCAGCCCTCCTTGCTCTTAACCCTCCGTACCTTCGTTCTAGGATCTCCGTTTGTTTGTCCAGAAGGTCTTGGGACATTTCATAACGGCTGGAAGGTGATTTTGTAATAAATTTGGTGTTTTTGGGGGTGGTAAAATGAACATTTTTGGAAGCTGTGTTTTGTGTGAAGGATTTTGTGCTACACTGAATGTTGTGATAGTTAGAATCAACTATTTAATGGCTCTTTCTTTAAATATGGAACTACGATGAGAAAGTGTTTTATAACTGAATTTAATTAAGGCAGAGGTTAGATGTTGGCCGCTCTCTGATAAATTATATGAGAAAGGTATTGAAAAGGTTTTCCATCAAATTAAACCTGTGGTGAATCTGTGGTATTAGCATTATTTATGCACTTTCCACTATTATTCTAAACGCAATTCATTTACACACATTATTTAATTTCACTGTAGTGGTATAAGCATCAGAGAGCCGGAATACGGAAGAGAAATAACCAATTTCTAAAAAAGTTATGTGATTCAGTACACAAGGAAGGGTCTGATGGAACAAAGTGATTGATAACTATGAAAAGTGTCTGGATGTTTATAATTCTGATATCTATAGACAAGCAGAGTTTTTGTGGACTAGTGTGATTTGCGGGTATTTTAACAACTTGATGTTCATTTTACCAATACACGTGAAGGGATGAAATTAGAAGGTTAGTGCTCATTCAAATGATAGGCTTACGAACAGGATTATTTAATTCATAATTATTTGATTAAATTTATTAGATGAGAGTAAGATTCGTATAATTTGTTTATAGTAACAAGATACATTTCATAAAAACCTGCATTCTTGATAAAGTTTTGATTGCAATATTCACAAAATTCAAATACCAAGCTAGTGCAATGTTTTGTCAATTTCTGATTTAGAAAAAAGAAGACAAAACAGTCCATAGCTAAAATGGGTCTGATATCTTTATGAATAAGATTGCAATTTCACTGAAGGGTCTAGTTACTTCGATTTGTGTAAAAGAGATAACTAATGATGTATTGCCAAAATCTAATAGACAGTAGTTTTTCGTTGGAAGAAAGTTTTTCATAGCTCAATGAATGATCTCAATACTAGAAGAGGGTTTCAAATTACAAGTGAATTGTTTAGTAAACGATACATGCTGTTAACCTTTGAAGATTGGTTTCAATTTAAACTGGTTCTGAATCAAATTAGGTCCACTTTAATTGCATGTTTTGTAGTTATTATTTGTAGTTAATGACGTATAATTGGTGTGTCGAAAAAAAATATACCTAACCATAAATATTTCTCGATCGCTTGCTCGTCGAACGAAAACGAACATCGAAACAAAACGAAGAAATTTTTATGTCCAAAAATTGAGATCAAAAATGTTGTTGAATCATTTTATGACCTTTAGTGTGATAAAATGATTACATGATCAAATGATCTGTCACTTGGCATATCTTTTATATATTATTATTTAATTGTTCTATTAAGGTATAAATGACATACTCGTATTACATTGTAAAAACCCAATGTATTTTTCGAAAAGAAATATGAAATAAATAGCTATCAGTTATGAAAAAAATATTTGCTCTGATCAATAAAAAAAATGTTTAAAACGGGAGTCAGACTCATTCATGTCTGGTATACTCTGTACTTCATGGCAATTCCATTGAGAAAAAGGGTTTTTTAAGAATATTTGAAGGGACATGCAAAAAGTGGACCAGGATCTTAAAACTATTCTTAGAAGTCATGCCTTGATTTTAACAGGTGAATTGCGAAGTATTTAATTACTAATGATCTGATACAAAATACATTTAGAAAAGGATATGTCTATATTTAAATTGTGGTATAAAAATAGTACTGAAGGACCAATGAGGACCAATTGGTTTTTATCGACTAGCTTTGCAATTACTGATTGTAAATGCAAATGACAGCTGCAAGGGTAAATTAAACGTCAATCACTGATAAGGATTGCTAAGATTATGTGGTATTCTGGATTGAAAAGATAAGATTACGTAATAATGATGTTTGTTATTAGGTTTAAAGAAAAATATTTATTGCTATCGAGTTTGTTGAAACAAAGGCTATATTTGATTTTATGTCAACGCATGATCATCATGATTCGAAACAGGCCACATTTTAAATATAGACAACATACTAATGTAATTTGTATCAGTTGTGATTAGAATTCAATCTTTCATTTTATTTGAAAGAATGGGAAATTTTATTTTCGAGTTTAGATAGGAGTTAAGTGTTATCTAAGTGTTAAGGGCACACAATACACATTCCTGAGGTTCACGACATACCCTCTAGTCAATTTACCCCTTTTTTGGGGTAAAGTGGGATCTTTTTGGGTGATCCCCGTCGAACCCATGCCCATGATGGACACATCTGTGCCTCGCCTATGGAAGGAATTAAAAAGTAAAGAAAACATAATACACATGTTAGTAAGACATTTTCCCCCAACACATTTCCCATAAGACCATATAACCCAAACATTTATTTACATACAAGACAACATTACACATATACAACACAAAAAATTAATCATCAATGAATCTACACCCATTGCCATACATTTATATTACAAATAAACATATAAGTGATGTGTCCCAATAGCTATGCACAGAAAAGGTAATATTGCTGTGTTTGCATTCCACTGACCTGTTTGTATGAACCGCGTGTCCAAAGCCCTCTGGTGGGGCGGCGATGTACAGCGGTGGCGCCGGCTCGGCTGCGCCCACGCACAGCCCCGCCCCCGTGGACGCGTTCGACGCCGACGAGCATGACGAGTTCGAGTGGTTTAGAGCTGGAATTGCATTATATGGAATTCGTTGCTGGTACTTGCATGTACTTATTGTCATATGAGAGAAACGTAGACTATAATATTCAGACGATATTTACATACATTGAGATAGGAATTCAAGAAACTAAGATCTGTTCCATTTGGGTTGTTGCCTAGCTTTTGCATAGGTATTTTCTTTTGCCGAGTTTAGTTTGACTCATAACATAACAGCTAAATATTTTTGAAATGGGGACATTTGAACATCATTCTATGCTCATCTAGAGAAACTAAACATGACAATATTTCGTCTTTCATCGATCGGTATGCTTATTACAAAGATATTTCAGTCTGTACTTACCAGGTAATGGTCGATGAACAGCAGTGACATATCTGTTGCCCTCCATGTATCCTCGATCGGGTTCTGCAGTGTGGGCATGATGGGCGTGGATTGAATGCTGGTGGGTATAGAATCCGTCGGGGGGATGCAAAGCCACCCCACCCGTTCCCTCTTCTTCGTCTACCTTCTGAGAGAAGCTGTGGACAAAGAAAAGAGAAGGTTAAAGAAGTTGAAGCAAAAATGTAAGCATTCATACCAAAGGACCAATATTCTTAAAATTTACGAGTAGCGGGATTTTTAGCTTTCAATGGCAGGTTTTGATATGTATTAAGTTACCTGTAATCGATACCAAGTAAAATACGTCAGTAAATAAAAAAACGCCTGCATTTATTAGTATTTTTGTAAATACTCTGTTCCATCTCACAGACTTCTATTTAAGCCTTTTCTAAACAAAACAGTATCTCAGTTTTAAGATGTCAGTTTCAAGTATCAAAGATGCCTTAGAAATTTTCCTCTTTAGCAACAAGCCCTTTGTAACTGGGACTTGTAAATATTTTCACTATCTCAGTTAAATATTTGCTTACTTGGACGTTTTTGGGACGCTTTTGCAACTGCTAGGAAATAGGGCAACGTTACTGAGTGAAAGAGATAGAATGCTTGACTATCTCTTTTGTGGAACTTTATTCATCTTGAATTTGATATGCTGCGAATGGTGGTGCTAGATAGTTTTTACTCGGTTCTAAATGCATGTATGCTGAATAATGTTTTCAAATATTCTCCAAATCTGTATTTTAGTTACATGTAAAACCTTCATTTTGGCAATTATGAATCCTTTGTTATGCATAGTGGAGCTCAAAGAGCTATCACACCACCACAAATGGGGCTCCCTATATTTGATACCTACCGGGGTCGTGGGCAAAGAGCAATGGCGCGCGCCAGTACTCAAAGCAGACGAACTATAAGAGTTTGACACTCTTTTTCTCTTCGGGAGAATTTATTAGGAATATTGCTCAACTAAAAAAGAAGAGTCTTCATTATCATCTCTTTACAATACAATGTACACTATGGGGTGTAAATAACTTTGATTAACTTGTAGCTTTTTTACTTATGAGTATTTTACACCTACAATAAAAGAAAACAGATTCCTACGACCAAAAACGATACAAAAACGCTCAAAGTAGACTAATGTTGAAATTTATAATTTAAGTTAAAAAGCTACTGCAATATTCGTGGTACTAGTATAATGAAAGTTAGCACTTAAAGCAAATGTTTTGTTTTAACTACGATATTTAACAGTTTGCTTACTGCTTAGTTAGTTAACTAGTTAAGGTAGAGTACCGTGGAGGTAAGAGCGTTTGTTTGGCTGGGAAATTGTTTATTCTGTTAGATACGTACTTGTTTATTTGATGCGCTAATGGTTTGTGGTTATGGTAAAATAATTTATTACTTACTATATGCTTTCTACAAGACCTTTACTAAATTACAAAACCAATTCTATGACAAAATTCTAGGCTGTACTATTAAAGAATGACATAGGTTACATGCACTGAAATAGGTTGAAATGAAATGAAATAGGTTTTCTCTATAGAAACCTGATGGCGATAGCATCTAAGAATTGACATTCCAATATTCTTTTAGTTTAGGTTATTTTTAAACATAAACTTTTCTTTTCCAATACTTCCTTCAGGTAGTCGCATACTAAGTAAGATTTTATATAATATTAAAACCAACTAACATCGCATATGACGCAAATTACGTAAAAAATCTATGATACGATAGTTAATTGGACAAAAATAAAAATACTGATTAAAATTATTATCATTCGATAAGTGTGGAATTTGCATTTTCATTTCCATCTGATACACGTGCTGATTCGATTAAATATTTGCGATTAACAGTATTAATGCATTATTTTTAAAATTATTTATATGATAAAAATAGTATTTTAGATAATCAACTAATGACTTTTGTGACGTAGTGCTGATGTTATGTCGGAATCTCAATTAATTCGAGATAAGGATTTTTCTAGATCTAAGTTTTGTTTTCGTTTCAATCCAAATTAGGGATCAACTTAGCGAAGATAATTCTTAACAGCATAACATCAGAAAGTGACTGAGAAATCTAATATATCTTATGGTTCCTCAGAACTGCAGATCGAATATAAGACATTCATAGTCTAGAAACTATCAAAATCAATTTTTATACTTTAAAAAACAATTAGGTTCACACCTAAATAGCAATGAACTTGACTTGACTATTCCGTAATACTAATAAATATGTACTTAAAACTGTATTATCACTTTTCGGTCCCCAATTCCGGTGAACATAACGCAAAAAATTTACGACGCTTTCTAACTGCAGATATCCATTATATCGAACACTGAACCTAATTACATATTAAAACGGCTGATAAAAACTGGTTCCGATTAGGTGTAAGTCACATACGTGTAATTGGCAAAAATGTTTTAATTTCCTGTGAATTGTATCGTTATTATTTTGGTGTTTATTTGTTCGTAAACTCTACGCATTGTTTTTGAAAGAAGGTAAATTATATTTTCTTTTGCCCTGGGGCGAGGGGGAATGTCAGACTCTTACTGACTAAAAACCACTGCGTTCCTTATACTGGTCCAGCCCGGGGTCGCGGCTCATTTTTGCACTTAACCTGTAATCCCGGCAAACTCTAAGCATGATGATGTATGGAGCGATTTGTTTCTTTTTATGTTGTAGGTCGGCTAGCGAGCAGACGGATTATCTGATGGCAAGCAATCGGTACCGCTCATGGACTCCCGCAACATTAGAATAGTTACGAGTGCGTTGCCGGTCGTTTTGGGATTAGGATTTCGGTGATTTAAAGATTCGGGAGATTGGGGGGCATTGGGAGAAGGAAATAATTGCGCTTTTGGGTTTTAGATCTTCAAATAAACAACGCTCTCTATCATCTACAAAGTTGATCCAATTTACAACATCTATGAACGAGTATCTTGATTAATCACTGAATGAAGATTTGTCGCAGCTTGAAATTGGAGACTGTAAACTACAGAATTGCTAAAATGCGCTCCGCCAAAGTTGCAAATGCTGAAAGCTATCAATGCAGGTGCCAAATTGAAGATAGCAATTTATTCCCGTACGCTTGTGTGCATATGCTACAGGAGATATGAAGTATATTTTAGATTTCAGGCAGTAAGAGTCCTAGAAAACTATCCGAGTTCAAAAAAACTTAAATATAAAATCGGTACAACAGGTCGCTTTATATGAGGATTTACATATTGGCAAGCAATAACAAAACATATTTAAACAAGAGCGCAAGCTAGTTTAAGTAAGAGTATAGAAAACCAGGAACTATCTGCAATAATCGTGTCTCTTTATTTAGATCTTGAGTACGTCAATTAGAGGTTGTCACGAACTCGGTGAAAGTTCGAAAAACACCACAATTTAGTGTTGTTAGATATCTGTGAAGTTCGCTGTACCTATAACTAAATAATAGCTATTCGAGACGCGTGGCTAGAAAACGGAAAATAGGCAGAGTTATAGTAATTGAGAAGTTATCAAATTGTTATAAATTCAATGCCCGTGGCAGTAAAAGCGTGTTTATGGCAGCATAATTATTTTATGATCACTGCGGTATTGCTTTAAAGGGAATATGTAACGCTTTAATATACGTTACATTAAATATGGTATTTCGAGTAACTATGAACATGCGGAATTATTTTTACAATACAAAACTAGAACAAAATCAATATACAGAACGAATTATAGTGAAAATTGAATTGGTTTAAGGCACGCAGTATGAAATACGAAGGACGAAAAACAAAAAGACCAGTTTTGAAATCAGTTTAAAGCTAAAATTTGTTTACAGCAATAGGCATCTCAAGTTATAGGTACAGTACCTATCAATTAAAAAAAATAGTAGTTAAGTAAGTCGAACATACATCAAGTATCACAAGCGTACGCTAGGAATTAATTTCACACATTCAACTCTGAAACCCTTAATATACATCCTTAATGAATGCACGTCAGAAATTCTAATGTTGCGAAGATGAAAGTACAATTTGTTATAACAAGCTGTACAAGAAATGAAGCAACATTCAATAAGATAAGAACATACAATTAAGTATGGATCAATTCTGTAATTAACATGCTCATTTAATACATTAAAATATTAAAAAATATGAGTACATAACAATAAAATTGTTAATTCAGAAATAACCATCAATATGCTAGGAACAGTCAGTCAGTACTCAAAAATTTTCATGCTTAGCATAGCCACAAGATCCATCATATTGCACACCCATCTTTGTAACCACAAAATAATATTATTTGTCAACTAAAAAGCGTCCATAAATGCGTTCATATTATGCTTCCGCAGTTACTTTTGAAAAAAATATTTGTACGATGCCCGTTCCGCCCGATAAAGCTGTCAAGCATCTGTTATAAAAACACTCAGAGGCGAGAGGTGGTCCTTATTCAGACTTGAGGACCACAATGTCTATTCAAAGAACCAAAGGACCAATATTTTGATTGGCTATTTTTAGCAACATTACCCGGATTATTGGGTTGTTTTTTCTGAAAACTGTGTTTTAGGAAACGTTTTTAGAAGTTTTTTTGAGGTCCATGTGTAAATAAAACGTGGCATACATATTAAATGAGTAGGCACATATACAGTCATCATTTTACCTAACTTGGACACTGTCAGATTCGATGTACGGATGCTCAAATCCCAAATGTCTATTAAATAAAAACTATTTGAGACTGATTAAAGAATAAGTCTTTTAAACGATCCGCAAACGTGTTAGTAGCAACAGTGGAATTGTGGCCCAGTGGCCACATTATAGATTATCGAGGTTATCTCAACTCAAATACAAATAAACTCAATATTACAAGATACGAAAGTAATCTAAAACGCTTCGAGCAGTAATAGTGGTGTGGCAGTTTCCCACAGATACTGCGAAACTGAAACCACTCACGTAGTGATGTGCCAATTTCCTGGCAGACGAGGCGATTCGGTTCCGACTGAGTATCGAGAGATTATCAACTCGATATGTTGGATTATGGAGATTAAAATTTTTGTTGCTCTGAAACGTTACACAGAAACTTGTTACTTTTAATTTAAATAAAATAAGCAGCTCTGTATCGAATAAAACTACAGAACACTTTAATTATTAATAAATCTATTGGTTTTATTTAAGAACAAGGAAAT